GGGCGCGTGCAAGCGGTGTCCACGGCTGCGTGGGGCAGTGGGGCCCGAAGGCCAGCCCGGGGTGGGACGCCTCGTGTGTGCTTGTGGAAAGTGGAGTCCACGTGGAGTTGTGGCCGCGGGCGGCAGGGGAAGGGACGCAGTGTCCCGTGGAGTTTAGGTGTAGACCAGTGGAGCGGCGTCTACTTGTGTGTGCAGGGTGGTGGCTGTGGGTCTACTGGGTGCTGGGATGGAGTTAGTGAAGTGTGAGTTGTGGGTCGGGTGTGGGCGGCTGCGAAAGTGGAGGTGGAGTCCAAAGGGGATGAGGTGTGTCTGTCCGGGTCGAGCCCTGTGTGCCTGGTGCGTGTGCTTAAAGTGTGCCCAGTGCTGTGCGTGGCTGGGTGGGCAGCGGCGGTTGTCCTGCTCTTACCTGAAAGGTCTGGAGCCCACGGGCTGCTGGGCAGCATCAGGGTGCGTGGAGCACAGTGGGCCTGGGTGTGTCTATCTTTCTCCCACCGACTGCCACCTCTGAGCTTCCCTTCATCATGATGGGGGAAGACCCACCCTGCCCAGAAGAGGGTCCTCCCCGATGGAGGGGCCTGCTCCCCTGCCTCACTCCCAGGTCAGGGAACTGGGTTTGGGCAGATGGAGTGTTGGGAGATGAGCTCTGAGCCAGCCTTAGGGGGGACACACAGCCCCTACCCAAGGTCCACAGAATCCCAGCCAGAAAAGGGGAGACCGTCCCAGGGCATTCCCTCTCCAGCAGGAAAGTTTTTCTTAGTCCCCGACCTCTATCTCTGTGACTGTAGGGGACAGCCCCTCTCCTTTAGCCCTCCTGGGCCCTGCACAGGGCTGGTAACTTGGGTTTCACGATCCTCTTTCCCTCTTCCTCCACGGGAAGCTGCGGCCACACCAGCCGCTCCCTTCGCAGGCCCTGCCCCAGGGTGAGCCTTCCGCAGCAAACTCTTCCCGGTTCCTCCGGGAGGATCTCGAGGGACGAAGCCGAGCGGGAGGGGCGGGGGAAGGGGCGGGAAGGCGAGCTCGATTCTCAGCTGTCAGCAAAGGCAGCATTGATCTGCTGAGCGCCAGTGAGGGAGGGAGGGAGGCAGGGCCGTGGGCTGCAGGGACCGGGGGTCCCTAAGATGGGCTTGGCAGCAGGCCCACACCCCTACCCCATAGTGATCCTTTCCCCTCTGCCTAGCTGGGGGTGCCCTCTGGGGTCTGACCTGAATTTCCTCTGCTGCTCTTGGTCAAGGTGTGCCCAGGGCCAGAGCCTGGTGCCCCCAAGCAGGTTATGCCCAGATCCTCTACTGGAAGCTGGGGATGGTTTCTGGACCCCAAGGCCCCACTAGGGATGCAGTGCCTGGGCTGAGTTAACCCATCTTCTACGAGCTGAAGATGGCACCCCCAAAATATGCGGCACTGTCCTCCCTCTGTGGGACTGCCTGGCGGGTTCTTCTCAATCATGGATCCTGGGGAATGGAACTAAGGTGTAGGACGTGAGAGGTGCACAGGAAAGCAGTTGCAAGGGCCTTGGGGATGTTTCTAGAGGGTCTTTTTGAGGCTCTTCTTCTGTAACAGAAATGGAATTTGAATTCAGGTTCCCTTACCACCCAGAATATCTGAAACTGGGTCTGTTCTGGGAAATCTAATCTTCAAGCTCAGCATCACCTCTGGATCCCATGGCTCTCTTCCCAGCTGACGGACTACAAAGGTTCTTTCCCCACCTTGTGAGGAGCCCTCACTGCAGGGAGAGCCTCTCATCATTCCCAACTCCACTCCAGATTACCTGCTCAAAGGCAGCAGAAACAGGAAAGAGACTGTGGTTGCAGCTAGAGGGATGGAAGTTAGATCTCAGGAAGGACTTTCATAGGGCATAGAGGCCTGTTTCTCCTGCAGGCATATGGGTAATGGAGGGACACAGAACTCTTCCTAAGGGGTGGGAGGGACGGGGGAGATGATTCCAGGAGGCCACAGCAAATTTACTTGGCGTGTGTGTGCACATGGAGGAGTGGAAGGGCCAGAAGAGAAAGTCCAGTTCAGAGAGGACAGGTGGCCACTATGAGGGTCACCGGACAGCCTTCCTGCCCCATCCGGATTCCCAGGACATGACTGGGAGGACGGCCTTTCCCCACCACAGCCTTTAGTGACTAAGACACTTTTCTGAGCAAACAGCTGTCTCAGGCTCCCTCAATTGGCCCCTCTGCTGGAGGGTACTGGACACTGTGGTTCCCCACCCTCCTCCTTCTCTCTCTCCCACCTGTTCCCCTGACCCCACCCTCGGCAGTTTCCTTTCCACCGCAAGCCCTGTCCCCACCCTGGAAACACTGTGAAAGCTTCCCTGCCCCGCTGAGGAGACGCACTTACCGACACTCACTCCCACCTGGGCAAGTCCCTTCCCCACCCTGGACTTGTTTCCCTGTCTGTGCAAGAAGTGGGCAGGGCTCCAAGATCTCCTGTAATTCATCACTGTCCCCATCATCCATCAATGGAGCAAGTATTGACTGAGAGGAAGGGTGGGAGGGCGAGTGCTCCCATTTGCTGAGCACCATCTGTGTGCCAGGTCCAGTCCCTTTTGGGCCAGAGAGCAGCACCTTGCTTGAGACAGCTGAGACTCTGAGAGGCACAGGGACTCACCTAAGTCTACACAGCCTATTGGTGACCCCCAGAACTGTCTGTGACCTGTGTTTTCCACTGACTGGCACCTGCCTGCTGGGCACTGGGTGCTGGGAGCTGAGGATAACCACACACGGCCAATCCTTGTTCTCTAGAACTTACTTATACCAAGGGATGAAACTTCCAGGTCTGAGAGGATGGAGGGCAGGGAGTGGCTAGGACTAAGGTCTCTCAGGCTAGGCTGTAGCCTGTCAGTGACTCCCACTGTGACCCCAGGTCAATCAAGGGCTCAGGTTCCTTTCCTGGAGTGGAAAGTAGGGTGGTTTAAGTCGGTGATTTTTAGACTTTATCAGCAAAGGAATCCTTTTTACAGACAGAATCGTAAGGTAGCACCCCAATGTGTACAAAGCTTTGGAGCAGAGGTGTGCTAGTTGAATTGAGGTGAAGAGGTCTGGGTTCCATTCACTCGCCTCCTAAAATCTCTCTGCCTGCTAGCCACCTGACCCTGGGCTTTCTTACAGCTCCAAGGGTTGCTAGAGGTCACAGGAGGGATAAGTCT